CACAGGACTGACAAAAAGAAAAAGAACACCAAAGGCCCCACCAAAAAAATAATTAAAAACAAACGCAGCGTGAAAGCTATTTGATTACTTGATCGTTCTTTGTTCACTCCCTGAAGTGAGGGTTGGATTTTATTTCTTTGGGGTTTTAAGGGAACATCCCTTTCATCGCTGTCATTACTCCGACCCTGAGGCAGAACGGTTTCTTTTGACTGTTGACATTACGCAAGTCGCAGGTTTAACTGCAGCTGTGTGTTCATCCAAAAGCATTAGTGTAATAAAAATGAAAAAGACTTAATTGCAATCTTTATTTATTTTGGAATAAAAAAGAGAAAAAAGGTATTTTTCGGCACACTCCTTTCATATTACCTTTACTTATTTCAAGGGACTCATTGGTGATACCAGTGGTGGTTCATCTTCTTCCTATTTAATAACTGCAGGTGTCATATATTCTGAACGAACTGTCGCTTCAGCAGAAACTGTGGAGAACTAATAATGCTTTTGAGTGCGAGTGCTCACTGCAGAGATGACAAGGGCCTTTTTGAAAAGGCGGCCCATGCTGCAGTGATGCATTGAGTATATTGGTCACGCCAGATACCCTCTCTATGGAACCCAAAAACAAGACATGCTCATAGACTGTTTCATCCAATGGTGACATGTTAGTAAGTGCTATCTTGTAACTATCAAGTTGCACAAGTTTTCAAACCGCTTGTTTAACAGTTATAAGTGGCTACAAAAATTCCTTGCGCTTTGAAAGTGCCATACAATGCCACACAAAAATGTACAAAACTGTGCCAGAACATCGATGAGGCAACAATAAATTCCCTTCAGACGGCTGCTCATATCTCATTCTGTCTTCATCCTCTTATCCCTCTACTTCCTGTTACATCCAGCACATCAGTCTGCGCTTTGAGTTTAGGATGACAGAATTTTGGAAAGGTAGGTGTGTGTGTGGGTGGGTGCAGAGGAAGTAGAGCGTGGGAGGAGAGAAGACTGGACTTAATCCGAACAGATTAAATGTAGATTGATGTTTTTTGTCAGAGAATCGTCACCTCTGGCTTCAGATTATACTCTGACCACATCACAAGGACGGGGCATTTAAGGGATTGAGTGCAAAATTATCCCACGGCAAGAAATTTCATAATGATGATCCCCTTTTCAGTTCAGAGTGTCCGTCTTAATCCGTGCATATGTGTAATTTGAAACTAGATGGAGAGGCATATGCTCTGATATTCTCACTTAAAGTTAGTTTTTTTGTAAGTGACTTCATGAATTATATAAGTCTGTTTTATTTGGCTGCCCTAAATGTGTCTGCAAGCATGCATCTGCATGCTTGGATGGCCAAGTAATGACATAATTCCTCATAACTGGATACTAGATTATACAAATATAACATATATTCTAATCATTGTGCAAAGTATTTCACAAATTTAATTATTACTCAGCAGGACTTTTGTGCAACATGTTCTTTGGATTTTAAGATTTTTCTGTCCAACACTCACACCCTCCAGTCCAGCGCAAATTGTTGGCCCATGATGCAATACAGCTTGCTTGCTGGTTTAGGTTTCCCAGCCAATCAGAGCGCAGCAGTAGGAGGACATAGAGTGAGCTCATGCTTGTAAACGGCACTGACAGTAGGAGGGACTTTCAATTTACAGTCCCACCCTTTGTTGTCATCCCCGCTCAGCCCTCTTCAGTGCGTGTGCCTTGCATGGAAAAGGGAAAAGCGAGAGAAGGAAAAGGGAAAAGGAAGAGCGGTCAGAGGAGAGAGACTAGAAGGCAAGAGTGTGTGACTCAGGGCGTGTGCTGGTTCTTGAGTGCTACAGTGGCTTAACACAGAGTTGCCATGAAGTCTTCTAGACAGATGTACTCCACTTCACCGACAGTAGGTAGTGTCTCTGTCGACTTTGTGTTTGTTTGTTTTTGTTTTCATGTCCATGTTTGTGTGTGTGTGTGTGTGTGTGTGTGTGTGTGTGTGTGTGTGTGTGTGTGTGTGTGTGTGTGTAACTTTACAGTATCAGCTCACCTCACAGTGGGGTGTTGGTGTTTTGTGTGTTTACACAGGCTGTCAGCTCTTATCTGTTGGTGTCGCACAGGTGTATCACAGTGAGAAGACAACAGAGAGTATCATACTTCTCCTGCATTATTTCTCTGGCCTGTTAAAATGTCTCGCGCTCTAACCCATCTCTCTCCCATCATGCTTCTTAAGCGAGAAGAAGACATTTGATATCCTGTCTTGCCACTTTTTCAGGTTTATCTGCATGTGTGTTCTGTAAGAGAGAGTTCACCCAAACTGTGAGGATCCTGTGGTACGGTAAAGCACCAGCAGAGGTTTCAGTCGTGAATGAGACAAAGAACATGGTCTCTTTTGTGTTCTGTAAAGCCAACAGTAAACAGAACGTGACACATGCGCTTAAGCGCACACACAAAAACAATTAGCTCAGCACTCAAATACTATAATACTGCGAGTTTGGGGAATTACTTAATCTAAGGTCACCAGCAGCATTGCTGCTATTATTACTGTGTTTATAATGGCCAGGAGAATTATGACACATTTTTGCTTTTATGGTATTAGTTGGCAGCTCTCTCAAAGACGTGTCCTCTTCATGCATAATTTTTCTTCATGCATCCTGAATGTGTTTGGCTTTATCCCATCCCAGTGCCTTTAACTGCAGAGTCTAAATTCTAAATCTGCTTCCCTTCACTCACTTTAAAGCCTGTCAGTTAAAAACTGGTCATGGATACTTTAGACCATCAAAACTAAGCATCGTGGCCTACTTAGGAGTTTAAGTGAGCATGAATGAAGATGGAGCCCGTGTCAAAACTTGGTCTGCTGAATTCATGTAACCGTGTACACGCACGAGTGTATTCATTCATGTGCATCCACGGCGGTCAAATCTTCTTGATGTTACAGCGTTTGCTTTTCATGTCTCCATCAAGTTCATTTTAAAGCTCGAAAGTGCAAAAGGTTTGCCTCAGCTATAGTTTAGATAAAAAAAACAAAAAAACATGTTAAATTAAGTTTCTTTTTTGAAAGTTGCATCATCTCACACTGCTACTTTAATCTTTATTCCACTGTTTTAAGGAAGAGTACTTATTATTTGGCACTTTTCAGACTCCGCATTCTTCTTTCACAGCGGTCCACCCAAGAAAAGTGCTGTGAAACCAGCAGTAGATGAATGGACACAAATCACCTCACTGTCCTGCTGTCCCGAGGACCGGTGGTCTTATTTTAGCCTCACTGTCATTGCTTCCTCGTCTAGTCACTAATACATGAGTCTAAATTTAGACAGACGTCATAACAGATGATATTAGTATCGGTGTGTTCTAGTACAGAAAAACAGAATGACGGAGAAGTGTGAGAACTGTGCTGAAGAACTGAATACATCCTGTAGTTGATCCCCCCATTATTTCTACACTCGGGAGACATTCCAGCTTCTTTTCATTGGAGTCCAGCAGAGACAACTAGATACTCTTGAAATGCCGGTTTAAAGCAGAGGACTTATGGAGAACAATGCATATTTCGATTTAGACAAAACATAAGCTACTTACCGCTAATCATTTCCGTTTGACACCCTGCGTGTCTTTAACCCGAGTACAAATGTGACATGTTGTTCTTGGAGTTGATGGCTTAAGATATGACCTTTACCCTCCCAGTGTGGGGACTGTATGTCATTGGATCCTCTGTGCAAAGACTGGAAAGATACAGCTTGGCTTTTACCCACTCTGGTGTGTGAGTGTCCGTGCGCGTGCTCATGCTCGGTGGGCAACAACTAACAATAGGACACGAGCAGAGATGGGACAGGGGATTGAGAGCTGTATTAGATCCAGCAGCGACAGATGTGCAGACAGGAGGGAAAGTCTGGTGGGGGGATAATGATAGTCGGTGTGTGTCTGTGTGTGTGTGTGTGTAATGTTTATAACTGCTTTCCTATCATTGTGTGTTTACTTGAGGCATGTACTACTCTTCGCTCACCCCTCCATCTGTATGAGCACATGAGTGCATGCCTGATGCATGAATAATGCATGTGCTGACCTACTGAGAAAATGTGGCTGAATTCATTGCTGTTAGCAACAGAGAGATGAAAATGATATGAACAGCATTCAACAAAAGTGCAAATTCAAGCCATGCATCAAGTCAAGCTATGTGGTTATGACCTCTTGTTACGTATGTACAATATTTGCACTGGATGCTTGTTTTCAGTTAACACCTGATCTTGCAAGCGATGCTTCACTAGCATTTTTTTACTGCTGTAATTAATTTTGCCGTATTTGCTGGCCTTGCACTGATGAATGTGAAAGTGGGCCATGTGGAGGCAGCAGGGGTTTGTGTTGCTAGGCAAAATATCCATACCTTGCATCATATATATAGCTTTTTTTTCCTAATGTGAAAACAATAACAGACTTCTCTGTTCTGGTCACCCTACAGTTGGTTTCTGGCTTTCATGTAACTTCTACCTACAGAGGTGTGCTGTTTGCTGTGAATGTGAAAATGTAGCTGTGTGGTTCATAAAATAAGAAATTAAGCCTATTCCAGCTTAAACTTCTTATGTTTTTTTTTTTGTATGTTCAAAACTACGACTGTTTCAATGGATTATTGTGGATTTGTAAAAAAAAACAAAAAAACAACCCTTTTGTTGAGTGCTTACTTGCTCGTTACAAAGCCTTTTCTTTCTTACGCCTTCTTTGCTTATTTTTGTATTTTATAACTTTAATGTGTTACTCACGCATTTGGCCATAATGGTTCATGTGCATCTGCTGAGCATGAACTGCAAGCCTCTTTCAGCTCTCTTTCAGATGACGTTGCTCTGGTATTAACCTAGAAATAACTGCATAACAGTGTGCTTGTTCTGATCAAGGCATTAAACAGCTTTGTTTTGCTTTGGTTCCTGGTACCTTCTCTGAAAAGTTTGCTGAACAATAGCTCAGCAAAGAAGACCGAAGAAAAAGCTGGAGTGCAGCATTTTTCTTTAATATTTTCATCTTTCTCTTTCTCTTGTTAGGTTAACTGCTGTCGTTGTCCGTGGCTTTAAATTTCCTTTGCCATGGCCAAGCGCGAGGCTGGAAGTACCAGCCCTGTGGTGCGTCAGATAGACAAGCAGTTTCTGGTCTGCAGCATCTGCCTGGATCATTACCGCAACCCCAAGGTCTTGCCCTGCCTGCACACCTTCTGTGAAAGGTAACTAATGTTTGTGCTGTCTGCGTCAATGACACCGGTCAGGAGTCCTAATTACTGCTCCTCGCACTGTCTGCTGCATGTAGCTATTTCTGGCCATTCAAAGGAGCTTTTGAATTGTTTACCATACCTGTCTCTCTTCTAGTAAATCCTGTCTCTTACCCTGTTATCATAGAATTCCTGTCATACCTACATGCTGGCCAATAGAGGAACCTCATCTATTGCAAATCCCTACACACAATTAAAAAGCTCAGAGCGCTTCTCGTCACTGACGCTGCTGGGATAAGTGCATTCCTCAGCATCGGGGACTGTCAAGGACTGCAGTCTGAAAAAAGGCTCACTGTTGAGAGACACAATTACAGTGGCTCAATCCACAGTTTCTTGGGAAGGATGACACCCCCTCAGGTGACAATGCTAGAGCCGAGCCAAGCAGGAGGAAGCTTTTTGAAAGCTTGTTGTGGGTCATGGTGGGAGGATGGAGAATGAAGAAGGGGCATGTTGTTGGCTGCAGAAGAAAACCAGGATTATGTTTCAGACTGGTTTGCTCCTAAACCCACGATCTACCAAATATTTATCGAATGGCTTTTTAAAAGCCACACAGTATGAGATAATTCTCTTTTTTCCCCCATGCAGTCTGAGCTGCATTTGCCCACCGGAGGGCAAGTTTAATCCCTGGTTTAACTGGATAGCATGTGATGTGGAGTCCTGCTGAGGTGAACAGATTTTTGTCTAGGGCTATACGCAATATTTCCAGACAGATGTTTTAATGCTGGGGTGGGTTTATGTACTTTAAAGAGGGGTGTGGTGCAAACCCCTGCTGGGCCTATTCCTTTTGGGAGGGTGTTACTTTGCTTCATTTTGCTCCCGATGTCCTCTGTATGTGATTGTCATTTTTGCATATAACCTCAGGATACGACTACTTCATAATATAGAAATGATGCCAAAATAATTACATTTTACAACAACAGTAAAAGCAATTAGAATAGATAAATGACATTTTCTTACCCTTGAATCTCTGCCTGCTGCTCCCAGCGAGCTTCATGTTTGATTTTTGACAAAATATTTGATAGAAAAAATGTTTTTGTTCAACCTCTCAGTTGTTCTCAGAAGCAGAAACAGGGAGGCTTGGCTGATACGAGCTTGTATGCTGTCATAAATTAAATATAATTGTTCCAGCATGCAGCCTAAGCAGCTGCCAAACATACTTTTGTAAAACAACAGAGACTTATCCTGAGAACTGACTCAGGGTTTCTTACTGTATTAATCGCCAAATCATTAACTACAGAAACTAAAGAAATACAGCTGTACATCACCTGAGGGTGGGCACCTGGGCTGTAGACAAGGAATGCATTGCAGTCTGCATACTGCACCTGAAAGTTACTGACTGGCTTTGGTTTTTTCCCTTGTTAGCGTCTAATGTTGTTGATACGCTCCAGTGGGCTTGTTAACCAAACCTGGAAAAATCTTTAGCATGTAGAGCCAAGCAGGATAGATGTGACTACTAGCATGCGTGAAGCCAGGCCAGAATCCAAACTACACAAACGCACACATAGATGCACAAACAGAAAAAAGCCTTAAAAAATGCACTTCACATGTATTCATGATTGAACTGTTTTGCCTCTTAGTGACTCTGTTAGTCAAATTGATTTGCCAGATGCTCACTTACTCAAAGAGAGTGTACATGTTTTCTCTCAAGCCTGTGGGCTCTGTATTGATTTAAATCCACTCTATTGCCTTATTTGTTGTGACAGGAGCACTATTTAGGCACTGCCTCTCTTTATTATGTGATTGCTCTGTCTTCCTCACACCTTCCTCTTCTTTTTTTTTTCTGCTGTATTGGTTATCTAAGTTTTATATTTATATATTTGTTGGCCTCTTCCTTCAGCTGTCTCCAGACCTACATTCCCCCTGAGTCTCTGACACTCTCATGCCCAGTGTGCCGGCAGACATCTATCCTGCCAGAGAAAGGAGTTTGTGCCCTCCAGAACAACTTCTTCATCACTAATCTTATGGAGGTTTGAAAACACAATGCATTAGCCAGATAATTCCAATGCACATTACAAATAACAAAATAAAGAAATACCTCCTTGTTCCACACTGAATATAAGAATGTATTGCATTAGGTCCTTCAACGAGACCCAGAGTGCTCGCGGCCAGAGGCCTGCAGTGTGTTGGAATCAGTCAGTGCTGCAGCTGCAGGGAAGCCGCTCTGCTGCCCAAACCACGAAGGAAAGGTGAGAAACTCTTTTGAGATATGCTACCCAAGTCATCACCTTACCTAAATTCCTTTCCATGTTATTTCAAGCAGTAATTGGTGTAAAAGGAACTGAATGTTACATTAATTTCTTTTTTTGCAAGAGAATGACTCGCTCTGTCTCCCTCTGCAGGTGATGGAGTTCTACTGCGAGTCATGTGAGACAGCCATGTGTTTGGAGTGCACAGAGGGCGAGCACAGGGAGCACATGACTGTTCCTCTGCGGGATGTGGTGGAACAGCACAAGGCTGCGCTGAAGACACAGCTGGATGCCATACACAGCAGGTGGGGGTCTTGATACCTCGGGAAAGCTTTAAGCAGCTTAAGCATTTGGTCCAGACCTTAGGCGATCTGTGCACACCGTGCCTCGTCTGTCAGACATTTTCATTGTGTTCGGCTGCTGTGGAATACATTTTCACCTTGTTTCATGTTGCAGGCTACCTCAGTTAACAGCAGCCATTGAGCTGGTGAGTGAGATCTCTCGACAGCTGAGTGAAAGGAAGAATGAGGCAGTAGCGGAAATTACAAGTACATTTGAAGAGCTGGAACAGGCGCTGCATCAGCGCAAGACGGCCCTCATCACAGACTTGGAGAATATCTGCAGTACCAAGCAGAAAGTTAGTTGATGACCAGTTCATTCACTCATGTATACGCACATGCATAGGTTTTTGTCCTTAATACCAGAGATTTATTGCTTTCTTGACATTTAATTCCTAATTTTCCTCTTTTTTAATGTATTCAGCTGCTTTTTCTCATCTTCAGTATTGTTTTAACATGCTCTACTGACCCTCCTGTGTCCATTTTCTCTTATTCCTTCTCATTCTTGAGCACAGGTCCTGCAGGCCCAGCTTTCAGCTCTCCTCCAGGGGAAGGAACATATTCAGAGCAGTTGCAGTTTCACAGAGCAAGCTCTCAGCCATGGTAGTGCTACTGAGGTGGGCAGGCAAATTTTTATATACCAGCAACCTGTCAAACAGGATTATAGGATTTGACTCTCAAGTTTCATGCAGCAACGTAGCAGAATGTCTGTTCTTCAGTAGTTATATTGTTCTGTATTAAAAGGTACAGATGGGGGGGAAGGACTTTAAATAAAATACAGTATGCATCTCCTGTAAGAATAGGTGCTGCTGGTTCAGAAGCAAATGAGTGAGCGAGTAAACGCGCTGGCCAGACATGACTTCCCAGAGAAACCTCATCAGAATGCACACCTGGACTGCCAGGTAACGACTGCTGTCTGTTGTGACCTCTGTTTTTATTGTGGTGGTTTGACTGATTCTCCTACATTGTCGCATCGCAGGTCTGCGTGAGTCCTGTCGAAACTTTTTATTTTTCACGTGACTGTAATTTGACTACATGTATAACAAGCAGTACTCAGAAAGGACAAATCTCCACCAAGGCAGCTCAATCTGTGGGCAGTGTTTACTTTTATAGGATTTTTGTTATATATTCAGTTTGTTTTCTTTTTTTAAATGTAATGAAAGAAGCTTGTAGTGCAGCAAAAGTAATATTTACAATTCCCATATACCAGCAGATTGAACAGCAGGCATGCAATGCTACAAAAACATTACCTCCTCGGTGTGGGTAATAAAACAAATGTATAAACCCAGTCGTAAAGTACCATTAGCTTGTTAGTAGTTACCAGCTGCAGACACAGAAAGACTTAATAATAAAAAATAATAATAAAAAGTATTAAGAAACTCAAAATTCAAATGTGCTGTGTGTTCAAGGTGGAGACCGAGGGCCTGCGGCGCTCCATCCAGAACCTGGGTGTTCTCCTCACCACAGCAGCTGTGGCTCACACTTCCGTGGCCACAGGAGAGGGCCTCCGCCATGCAGCAACTGGGCAACACCAAACTATTACTGTGACAACAAAAGACAAAGTACTGTCTCTGAATTATGTTGCTTTACTATCGTAATATTGTTCTGCTATATGTGTAAATTAAGCCATTTACTTTTTGCTTTGGCTCTAATGGGTTTACTGACATTTATTTGCTTTTCTTGTGTGTGGCTATTTCAATTTAGCTTTTCATTTTAATTCATAGCATTTATCAGAGTTCGTTTCCAAAAGTTATTTCACGGTGGCTACTCTGGTCACCGAGGCAATTTTCAGGGATTACTTTTATGAAAAGAAATCTATTATAAGCTTCTCATGCATGTGTGGAAAGTGCTTCTTTAGTGGCTGCCGTGTGAATATTGAAGATTTTGTGTTGTTTGGAAATTGACTCAGTGAACCCTATCTGCAGGATGGGGAGCTGGTGCGGACAGGAAACGCAGTTTTAAAAGCAGAGATAACGTCCGCTGATGGGAGCCGGGCTGCAGAGACGGAGATAACGGACAATAAGAATGGAACATACGAGGTGGGCTACACGTTACGCTCTGAGGGAGAGTACTCGTTTTCTTTGCTGCTGTACGGACAGCCAGTACGTGGCAGCCCTTTCCGACTGCGAGCAGTTAAGCCGTCAGATGTTCCGCAATCTCCAGACGATGTGAAGCGGAGGGTGAAGTCCCCCAGTGGCACGGCTGGCCACATACGGCAGAAGGCAGTGCGACGGCCTTCCAGTATGTACAGCACGACTAAGAAAAAGGAGAACCCCATTGAAGATGAGCTCATCTACAGAGTGGGTAAGAGAGACACGGAAAAGCAAATTATGTCCTACACAAGTTACATTATCTTTGTTACAAATCAAGAATACTTATGTCATCATTTATTGGCTTCTAAGCCACAAGACAGGCTTTTAAATTGACACTCTCCGCTCCAGGCAGTTGCAATTTCCAGTTCATGCCAATAGACTACACAATAAAACTTTGATCTGGCTTGATTGTTTTATAGATTTTTTTTTTTATAGACAATTTGGCTTTGGCTGAGATAAAAAAAAAATGTCACTGGCATTCAAAGGTTTTGCAACTTCTTCATATTATTTAACTCAAGCAAGTTTCTGTAATTTACTTTTGAACTCTTTTGCCGCTTTAAACAAACTTTCCCAAGCCTGGGAGACAGGAAAGGAATCCAACAAAACGTATGTCATAGTTTGGTAAACGATCGGCATGAGTGCACAGTGTATAAGACTGGAGACTAATGTGAAAATGGTAAATGACACATTTCTTGAGTATTTGCCTTTTTTTTTCTGTCAGGTTCTCGGGGTAGAGAGAAAGGCGAGTTCACAAATCTCCAGGGGATCTCAGCCTCTAGTAATGGCAGAGTGGTGGTGGCTGACAGCAACAACCAGTGCATACAGGTGAGGCAGTGTAGCCACGTGTTTCACAGTGATTGCACAGAAGTGGATATTCAGACGAGTGTACTCTGCCGTACACTCTAAAACTGTTTGCTTTGATGGACCCAATTGCAGGTTTTCTCCAATGACGGCCAATTCAAGATGCGCTTTGGGGTCAGAGGTCGGTCTCCAGGGCAGCTGCAAAGACCAACGGGTGTCACTGTTGACATGAACGGTGACATTGTGGTGGCCGACTATGACAATCGGTGGGTCAGCATCTTCTCTCCTGATGGGAAGTTTAAGGTAAGATCTCTGTGCAAGCTGAACAGCACTAAATGCCTCATTTAAGGGTTGTTCATATGTGAAATCTATTAAAAAAATAGTATTTTGGTGTTTTTCTGCCTCACCATTTACCTTCAGCTTGAAAAAGTACTAAACTACTTTTTTGTCTCTCTGCATCACAGAATAAGATCGGTGCAGGACGGCTCATGGGTCCCAAGGGTGTGGCTGTGGATAAGAACGGACACATCATCACTGTGGACAACAAGGCTTGCTGCGTCTTCATCTTCCAATCCAATGGGAAACTTGTGACCAAGTTTGGAGGCAGAGGGACTTCTGACAGACAGTTTGCAGGTGAGAAGGAGGCAGCCACTGACGGGGAGGAGACAAGCAAACATCTGTTATGAAATTTTGAATATTTGGCAAAATTATTAAAGTGAGTTAAAATATACTGAAAGAAATAAAAACACACTTCCATTATTTAGGATAACATTTTTTATATTTCTTTAAAGGAAAATAGCAAAGGTAAATATCTGACTGCACAACAGTGAAATACATAAAAATCAAAGGTTAATTTATTAAAATAATTAATCATTAAGGGAAATATGGTTGGTATAAACTCAATGTGTACCATTCAAGTAAATTTCATTTGACCATATTCCATTAAATGTAATGTTGTACACTGTAGTTACATGGAAAATTTACATGTAATCAGATTACTTCATTTTATGCATAAATATTTTTTGAGTGTAAGTAACAGGATTGTTTTAGTAGACAGTAAATCGGGATTTTGAAAGTGTTTGCAATGTGTTTTTTATCATTGTTTAGTATTAGCAACTAAAAACCCTCATTGTGAGCACCATTACTAATGTAGGCGCAGTTTAAAGCGTCAGCTCTGGGCAGCAAACAGCATGAAGAATATTAAAGACAACACTGGCTGTGTGCCCGTAACTCCCACGGTATTACTGCATTAGCCGGGCAGCAGCACCCCCCTGCACCTCCCTGAGCTTTTTCTTCTTTGGATGTCTTTATCTCTGACTAGCTATTTTTTTTCCTTCCTTTCTTTCTTTCTTTCTGTTCTTCCTTCTGTTTTCCAACTCAGAAAAACTTGGCCCAAACATAAATAAATCTGGCTCAGTTTTCAGTAAGTACTAAGTGTGGCCTTGCTGCAACCTTAATCCCACAGTGCAGTGCCCTCTGTCTAACCCAAATCCGTGATCATGTGTCTGACCTCCTGAGATCTCTGATTGTTTAAAAAAAAAACCCTGCAGGATGAAGCTGTGCCTGTGCAGCAATGATCAGAGATGAGATTACATGCCATTGTAATAATTACATGAATCATAATTATTCTTTTTTAAGATAAGTTTGTTGTGTGTATTGTGCTTTTGATGAAAAACGGCTATGAAAAGAGAGATCGGTGTGAATGAATTTTACTGTTTCCAATAGCTCATTCTGTGGTATTTTAATATAATCAGTTTCGAGGTCTGCTTAATGATAAGTTAACTGAACGAGTAACCCAACCATCAGTGTAAGCACTGACAGTATGACTAAGACAATATAAATATTCTGTGATTGGGCAGTGCATGCATAACAATGATTTAGGCCTTGAGCCTCTCCATATAATTTAACTTTCAGTATTGACTTGAAATGTTGCATGAAAAAAAGCACAACATACTACTCGCGTCCAATCAGAAGGGTTTCCTATTTTATAATTGCAGCTTTAGACAAACTATAGATGAAAACTACATTTAGTCAGCCTACTAACAGTGAAGCCAATGCATAAACAACAGGAAACAGTCTCTGCTTCAACTACCAACATAACCTGCTTCTGTCTCCTCATCCAGGCCCGCATTTTGTTGCCGTGAATAACAAGAATGAAATTATCGTGACCGATTTTCACAATCACTCTGTGAAGGTAAGAAAAAAAGACGACCTATGTCTGAGTTTGCCACCTTAGCTGTGATTTTTCTTTTAAAGGGAGGCCGTGCACATGAAGATGCTGACCAAACTTTTTGCCTCAGGTGTACAGCGCTGATGGGGAGTTCCTGTTCAAGTTCGGCTCTCATGGCGAAGGGAACGGCCAATTCAACGCTCCCACTGGCGTGGCTGTGGATGCCAATGGAAACATCATTGTAGCTGACTGGGGTAACAGCAGAATACAGGTGAGGCAGCTTGCAGTTTACGTGTAGATGTAATTTTAACGCCGTTGCTGTGTTTTGTTGTGACAGAATTGCTGAAAATTCTGACCTTTTTTTCTGCATCAGGTGTTTGACAGCACAGGGTCCTTCTTATCCTACATTAACACTTCGGCAGACCCGCTGTATGGCCCCCAGGGCCTAGCGCTCACCTCAGATGGACACGTGGCTGTTGCAGACTCTGGCAATCATTGCTTTAAAGTTTACAGATATCTGCAGTAGACTGAGGGGAAGATGTCGCCGCCACCACCAACTCCTGCTTTAAAAATCAATGTCACATATTTCTTGCAGAGAAAGAGTTGCAACATGCCTGCACACTTCCCAGAGGCTCCATGTCCACAAATTAATTTCCTGTTCATTTTGTCTGTAAATACTTCAAGGATTTAATGTCCAGAGTTTAAGAACAAGAAATGATATTAAGAACGAACTTCCAAAACATGCAATTTTAATGTTTTCAAAGACAAAATTGGCTAGATATCACAAAAACTACTGACTACTGCAAGAACAGAAACCATAATTACTGAAACGGCAGTGAGTTCTTGGATTACTTCTATTTTAAAAAACAATCAATCAGGTAAACATATCTCATATAGAGACTTTCAAATACTTGCGTTTTTTTTAAAGAATGTGAGACAGCCTCTGCTCAACTATACACCTGCAAAGTTAGATGACTACATCTTGTACAGTCGCGTTGCTGTTACATGACAAAATAGGTCCATAGACAGACATGCATATATCAAAAACACTAAACAATCAATTAGGCATGTCTATATTTTGTCATTTTTGGTTTGTCTAACTTTAACTTTCCATAAAGCTGAGCTATAATGCTTCTCTCCACCTCATGTTTTTATTCTCGGACTCTAGAGTAGCTTTGCATGATTCTGTCTGAAACAAGCTGTTTTAGTTTGAGGTTTGAGATGGGCTTTATCAGCAGATGAGCAGTGTTGCGCTTCTCACAGAGCTGCGTGCCTGAAAATCAATAATTCAATTTTGGTACCTAAAAATTTCAGCTTAATAACTTGAAATGTCAAGTTATTGAGGGAAACAAAGTGCTTTAGGCAGCTAGAAGCCTGAGCTATTAGCGCATGGGAATTATTTGCACAAACACTTGGCTAAATTTGTGATTAGTATCAATGTCACAGTAAAAAAAAAAAAGTTTGTGTGTGTGTATGAATGACATAGATTAGGTATAAGCATAATAGTTTACTCTGATTGGCTTTGAGCCTAAAACTAACCAACTGTCGACAGGAAAAAATGAACAGGAAATTAACCCCTGGCTCAAAGGCCTTTTAGCTCTATTCCCCAAGTGTATCTTCACAGCCTGTCAGTCTTAAATTGTTTTGGCAATGCAGATGGGCAACACTCAGTATCCAGCAAACAAGGCAACGCAATGAAGATTCCCTGTTTCCTGAAAGGAACATGATGCTTTATGAGTAAAAAAAATGCTCAGGTCTTTCCTTGAACAACGTTGCATGTTCGTGTGCTCTGAAAATGATCTTCTTGTCACTGCCTTACAATATTCATCAGCGAACTCTGCAGAAACTTCAGGAATGTGTTGTTTTAAAAGGAACTGCTTATCATTCTCATTCTGCACCTTATCAGTCTGACATGATCACTGCACAATTAAAATTATTCTTATCATTGTTTTTTTTTTTTTTAATTTCTATTTAGCCATAAGATGAGTTTACGTATATGCAAGTTGTTTCATTTTGGGATCCAAAGACAAGCATCAAAAAGCACAGTAGTTAAAAAAAAAGGCTAAATATCTGAACCAGCTCCCCTTCACCCTAAAGTCGGAGCCCTACTAGCAAAACAAAATAATAGTAACTAGTCCTTGCACTTTCGTATATTCATACCTACAATTCACTGTAGTTGTGCATATGCACATTTACACGTATGTATATATTTATACATATATATATGGATTTGGTGTCTATATAGCCTACATATTCCAGCACTTAAACAGAAACAAGGTCACGCCAAGTAGTTAACTGAATGAATGAAACATCAGTGGAACAAAGTTGTAATAAGTACATATTATTTGCTGTATTTTTTTTTCCTTTTTGCAAAAGAATTTATTTATTTACAAATTTCTTTTCTACATAATTTGTTTGACAAATTATTTTTCTAATTGGTCGGTTTGAACCTTCTCCTCCTCTTTGCCAAACTTAGCTATACCATTGTAACTTGTAGCACTCAAAGCTGTTTTCTGTTTTTGACTCTTCCCGGTCAAACAGTGACGTTTCCTTCTGCCAAAACCTATTGTTGTAAGTTGCTGTTGAACATTGCACAGAATACAAATAATGAGAGTTATATAGTTTGCAAGAGTAATATATGCCTCTATGTATAGTTCATTTTGACATAATCAGAACGTGTACTGTATATTACAATCATATTCCTGTTGTAGCTGACAAGCACTTTTATCGTGGATTTTCCAGGATTTGTATTCATTTGCTCTGTAGTTCAATGTTTAGAGGTTTTTGTTTTTTTGTGCGTGTGGCTCTTACAAAAACACCAGCTAATATGCAGTGACACAAAATCATCTCTCACCTGTGTTTTAGAAATACTGTCTGTCCCCCAGTACTGACTCATTCTGATTTTCCATCTGCATTTCCTATTTATTGGAAAACTGACAGATTGAGCTAAACTTCCCTTCTCACTAGACTATTTATTCTTTTTGTTGTTGCTTTTAACTGTTAAAAGACATGTGGGGGGAAAACTGAAGCACACAGTATTAATAAAATGACATCAACTTTTGTGTATACAACTGTGTACTACAAGAGGCCATTTACAAGTAATCAGTCCGTTCATGTATCACGGGGAAGGTATGATTGTAAATTAAAGAATGACTAAACTACTGCAAATTGCCTGCTTTGTATAACTAAACTTTAGTTTATTATACAGTAGACTCATTTTTACAGTGAATTTTCAGTTGTTTTCCTTTGTTACTTGGCCAGATTAGATATCAGCATCTCTCTTCATGCCTACTTTACCTACTATGCCAGTTTGTTTTTTTTTTTCTCTCTCTCTCTCTCTCTCTCTCTCTCCCTGATGTCCTCTTTTTCTATTGTCAAATAAGCTAAAATGTCACTTGCCTGCTTCTTGGCTTCTACTGGCTTGGCATTTGCATTAATGTTAAAAGAACTCGACATCACTGGGACTTAAGACATGAGAATCATATTCTCACGGCTTTTTTTTTTTTGCACAGAAAAATGTTACTTAATACTTTATAAAACACATTTACAATACACTGACACGAAGCCTCTCTCAAGAGACCTTTGTATAAATCAAATGAGTCATAACAGCCCGGCCTTTCCAGTTTCTTGCAAGACACCCCAGCAGCCAATAACTTTTAAGCATTTGATGAATCAGTCTCTGCTGGTGTATAACAAGTGTTTGCTACACACCAGGCATTCAGTGGTGCAGTGTATAAATAGATTCTTAAATATAAGGTTAGATTAAAACTATCTCCTGGTAAAGCCATTTAAAAAAAAAGATTGGCTAGAGTGAATAAATATTAACCTCTAACCTTTAAAATAAATAAAATAATAATCATAATAATATCAGCTTAATCTGAATAAAACCCTGCCAGAAGAAGACTTTAATCAGCAATGGTTCTCTGAAGTATTACTTCAAGTATGCATGGGATTGTCAACCTAAACACATTTGTATGGCCCGTCATGAAACCCAAATTATTTTAAGTCAAGAACAAGTAAGAGTCATCATCAAAGAAAGGAGGACACAATAAGAACAGCCTTCTCACCTCTTCCTTAAATGTTCTTGCAGAATGAAATTAGCAATACCGCACCCAATTTCAAGATTAGGGAACGGAAGGATGAAAATGGCAAGCAGCCCGTTTTGTTAGTAGAATGAACCAAAGCTATTAGCATTTTTATCAGCTGGATGTAATAACTCTCAGCGTAAATGAAAGCTGATGAAAACGATACAGTCATGGTAAACAAAAATGACCTTTCAATTTAAAAAGTGTAAGTCTTAAAAGTAAAACCTCAGATAAACTACAAAATGGCCTTCCACCCAACCGCAGGAACAGCATGGGGAAAACATAAGTACACACTTAATGCTTTCATAGGAATTAAGGGGTCATACAAAAGTTTTAAAAGTCTGGAGAGTCTGTTAGGTCATTTCCAAACAAGTTCAAGTGTGTATCATTCTGTAATCAAAGATACGCAACAGGAAAACATTCAAGACAAGTTTTCAAAAAAAACAAAGCCTACCACATTTGGACACCTGGAACTAAAATATAACCCAAATATCCCAAAGTACTCTAGAGTTCAACGTAAGGCCATCTGTCTGACAGCTAAAGCATGGCAAAAACTGAGGCATGTAACAAGACAATGATCCCAAGTGCAGCAGGAAATACTAAATTGCAGAGACATGTCGTGTTTTTGATCTTTAGTAACCTTATAGCAAAGATAAAGTTCAGTTTAAAGGAAATTGTGGAAGAAGTTGCAATACTATTCTAATTTTACTGCATTGTCTAAATACAAAGTGTTTTAAATGGATGACAGACTTACAAGTCAAATACACTTTGCATCTTTTAATCCTAATGTGAGAAACACCAATCACATTAATAGAACCCCCCCCAGGGGGGCTACAAAAAAAAAAAAAAAAAAAAAAAAACACACACACACACACACACCGACACAACACAGCACACACACACACACACACACCACCACACGCAAAAAAAGCCCAACAATACATTTCAGCAATAAAAAGTATGTATTGAATAAGATACACCATCTGAGACAACATTTACCAGCAAATACTCAAAGTTAAAGAGTAGAGTTTCAGTCCCAACATGTGATGGCAGACCTCCAAAAATAGAATAGGGGTGCCATTCTCCAATACTGTCAATGATCACATGGTGCGTTTTCAAAGCAAATTGTGGGCCTAAAAAAAAAAAAAAAAAAAAAAAAAAAAAAGCAAAAAAAAAAAAAAAAAAAAAAAAAAAAAACCCCAAACAACAACATAATATAATACCAAAACACATTTAAAAAAAGTTAGGGGACAAAAAGACTAAAATACAATGTGATATTGACTAATTTATATTAAAAAAAGAAAAAAAAAAAAAAAAAAAAAAGTGCATAGGCCAGAGTATATGTGCAACAACTAAAATGCTTGCTGAGCGCAGTTAGGAATACTATGCGTAGTTTTTCCTTCTATCCAGATCCAATACCAACACTGGCTGAAACTGATTCTGCTTTCAACACCGCGGGGGGGGGGAGGAGGAAATGCAGCATCAAAAATAAGCTGCAAGACAGATGCAACTCCGCAATATACAGAGGGAAATGTCCAAAAATGCCAAGCGTGCAACTTTAAGTTTTTATCATCTTATATAAAATTAAGTGTTTAAAAGGTTTGTGATAAAATGATTTGTACTGATGGATGTTGCCACTTCCATTCATTCCTGGAAGTCTAATTGTAAAATCAGTACAATATGGACAAAATTGAGTGTTCAGTCTCATATTGATGAGGGAATGTAGCATGATAACAACAGACAGTCAAACTATACCAGACAATGCTTCACCACTGACCCTTCTAAGAGTGAGCTTTTATAGTAGTAGAAGTATGGCATAGTTGTTGCTAACGGGATAACAGCACTGAATATGCTCTGAACAACAAGAGCATCCGAGGCATCTGCAACCCAGCAGACACAGTGATGAATAGCAAAGCACTTCTCCAAACCCCCAGCCAAAGGAGGTGGTATGAGCCTACAGTGTGTGTCCAAGTTGAAAACTACCAAATTTGTGTACACCTGGTACTTTTTATTCAATGTAAAATGTACTTTCTAAAAACCAGTAAGACAACTCAAAAGCATACATGACTTCAAGGGTCAACATCAGCCTATCACTCCAGCCTGATCTATGAGATAAAGCCTTGCCAACAGGCAGAAATGAACACACAGGCGTTAAACTTGTTTAAACTCTCAGTAATAGTGGCATATTTGCAGTCTGCTGCCTGGGTCATTTTTCCCTGGGCTGAAGAAAGGGTAGACAGGCTCCTCAAAGCAGGTGTCAAACATGTACAGCCTCTTCATTGTTACAGCATCATAGAAGCTAAGACGCCCGTTGTCATAGTCCAGGTACACACCCACGCGAGGAGAATTCCAGTAGTCGGCAACTGGAATGCGTCCGTCCTCCCCATTGGCGTACAGCCGGTCCTGCAGGCACAGGCTCCAGTATCCTGCGGAGGGTGTGAGGCTGACGAAGCCCTTCCTGTTGCTGCACTCTGTGGTCACTCCCAGGTACCACACACCTTTGTCCCTCACATCCACCTCCCAGTAGTGCTGGCCACTAGCATACTGGGCTGTGGAGAGGACGCCACAGAACCGATTGAAGCGGGCAGGCAGGTCTGGCTCCTGGCTGCGGACACGGCCCTCCTCCACTTTGGTGTCAAAGTCCGAGATAAGCAGGTTCGGGTGAGCGGTGTCTGGGTCCAAGGTGAGGTTCTGGGGCACTATGGAGACGCCATGACAGATTAAATCACATTAGTCTTAAGCTGACCTGATACTACATTTTTAAAAGAGCAGACTTGGTAGACAAACTGCCTGTTGGAATTGATATTTTTTTATATTGTCATTTGTGCTTAGAAATATAATCATTTGTATGCTGATAAAAATCATATCCTTATTAGGACTGATAAAAGTCTGTGTGCAGAAAAAAAAATGTAGATTAGTTGACTATCAAAAAGAATCATTAGTTGCAGCCCTATTAGACAGTAACCCGTTTCAAAAAGAAAGCATGCAGAAAAGTTAACCTGCATTACTGCGGTTTCTTTAGAGACTTTAATATATTCACCATCCAGCAAGCTTTAGGCTGAAAATGCCCGACCTCATGCCTAAAAATCAGTCTTACAGTTCAAATATAGCATCTCTTAAGCACTAACAGTACATGATTCTTCAACTTACTGGTGTGCAGCACGTGCATCATCTTTTTCCACATGATGAGCTGAAAGGGCCCTGAGAAGTCTGTAAATTCTGTCGGACAGTTAACCGGCTCCAAAGAGGTGAAAGGCTTGCACTGTACAACTCTGCAGAAGAAACATGGAAATTAACATGCTGGGCTTTTGTAAAGCATTTTTGTAATAAATGAACAAAAAGCTACTTACTCATTAAATGTCTCAGCAAGGCTCTGTTGCAGGGGGGGGAAGAAAAGAAAGAATATATTTAATTTGTGGTTTAATGTATAATTCAAACCCTAACAAACAAGTTTCATAACATTTGTTGCTTTGAGCAGCCCCATGTGCCCATATGCCATTTTAAGGACGCTTTGATCCTTAATCCTTAGTGCACAGTGGTAAACTGTCATCAGGGTGTCTGCAGATTATCACAAATTAATATTTAAAGTCCTTTTATAAGAATATGAAATCAGACCAGTTTCATGACCGTTTGGCTTTGCATGATGAATGGCCACGCAGTATGCTCACATCCACAGCAACTCTGCTTTTAATGGTAATTTGGAGAAGCTTGTCAAAATAAAGAATGTTGGATGATGGCGGCTATTTGCTGGTGGGGTTTTACTTCACGTTTGACTTCCCATGTGATATTTAAATACAACAATTTGGGCTCCAGAGTATCTACAGTAAACAGTATTTAAGGCTACTCTGGTTGACTAGGGGCGTGTTCCTAGGTCTAATTTTATAACTACAACTCTGTGCACCAAATTTTCCCATCGCATTGTTAACCTAAAGACAATGGCTGTGCTTTTATTTCAGCTTTAAAATGTATGATTATCACCCAGTTATAAACAAGCATTTTCACTTTTGCGTACAGTTTAAAAAAATAAAAATAAAAGGGGGCACATGTTTGTCATAGGCAGCATGATTGCATTAACACA